GAGCCCGGAACACTCTCCCTGGAAATGTCAGAGCCCCGGAACATTCCCTGGAGCATGTCAGAGCCCGGAAAAACTTTGGAGCATGTCAGAGCCAGGAAACACTCTCCCTGGAGCATGTGAAAGCCAGGGAACACTCTCCCTGGAGCATGTGAGAGCCAGAAAACACTCTCCCTGGAGCATGTCAGAGTCAGGGAACCCTCTCCCTGGAGCATGTCAGAGCCAGGGAACACTCCCCCTGGAGCATGTGAGAGCCAGGGAACACTCTCCCTGGAGCATGTCAGAGCCAGGAAACACTCTCCCTGGAACATGTGAGAGCCAGGGAACAATCTCCATGGAGTATGTGAGAGCCAGGGAACACTCCCTGGAGCATATGAGAGCCAAGGAACACTCTCCCTGGTGCAAGTGAGAGCCAGGGAACAATCTCCATGGAGCATGTGAGAGCCAGGGAACGCTCTCCCTGGAGCATGTGAGAGCCAGGAAACACTCCCTGGAGCATGTGAGAGCCAGGGAACAATCTCCATGGAACATGTGAGAGCCAGGGAACGCTCTCCCTGGAGCATGTGAGAGCCAGGAAACACTCCCTGGAGCATGTGAGAGCCAGGGAACACTCTCCCTGGAGCATGTGAGAGCCAGGGAACACTCTCTGGAGCATGTGAGAGCCAGGGAACACTCTCCCTGGAGCATGTGAGAGCCAGGGAACACTCTCCCTGGAGCATGTGAGAGCCAGGGAACACTCTCCCTGGAGCATGTGAGAGCCAGGGAACACTCTCCCTGGAGCATGTGAGAGCCAGGGAACACTCTCCCTGGAGCATGTGCAAGAAGCCAGGGAACATTCACACTCGTCGACCTGTTTATATACGGGTCCAACATATGAACTACTAAGAGATGAGACACAGAATTAACATCACCCAGGTATTCCAGCGAAGACGAACATTACCCAGGTATTCCAGCGAAGAAGAACATTACCCAGGTATTCCAGCGAAGAACATTACTCAGGTATCCAGCGAAGAAGAACATTCCATACCCCCGGCCGGGATTGAACCCGCGGTCATAGAGTCTCAAAACTCCAGCCCGTCGCGTTACCCACTAGACCAGCTACCTAGTTGGATGAATCTTATGTGGCTAGCTGGTCTAGTGGCTAACGCGACGGGCTGGAGTTTTGAGACTCTATGACCGCGGGTTCAATCCCGGCCGGGGGTATGGTTTGTTTGCAATCGTGTCATTACGATTTCTTGAGTCATGTTGACGGCAGTAAAGGGACTTGAGCTAGAGTTCGTCACGGCCACGCTAGCTGGAGATTCGTCTGTAAAAACTTGCATTTGTGGTCACAGTGGAGCCTGTGCTAACCTTCCTATGGTGTAGAAATATACCTAGTTGGATGAATCTTATGTGGCTAGCTGGTCTAGTAGCTAACGCGACGGGCTGGAGTTTTGAGACTCTATGACCGCGGGTTCAATCCCGGCCGGAGGTATGGTTTGTTTGCAATCGTGTCATTACGATTTCTTGAGTCAAGAAGAACATCACCCAGGTATTCCAGCGAAGAAAACATTACCCAGGTATTCCAGCGAGGAAGAACATTACCCAGGTATTCCAGCGAAGAAAACATTACCCAGGTATTCCAGCGAGGAAGAACATTACCCAGGTATTCCAGCGAGGAAGAACATCACCCAGGTATTCCAGCGAAGAAGAACATTACCCAGGTATTCCAGCGAGGAAGAACATTACCCAGGTATTCCAGCGAGGAAGAACATTACCCAGGTATTCCAGCGAGGAAGAACATCACCCAGGTATTCCAGCGAAGAAGAACATTACCCAGGTATTCCAGCGAGGAAGAACATTACCCAGGTATTCCAGCGAGGAAGAACATTACCCAGGTATTCCAGCGAAGAAGAACATTACCCAGGTATTCCAGCGAAGAAGAACATTACCCAGGTATTCCAGCGAAGAAGAACATTACTCAGGTATTCCAGCGAAGAAGAACATTACCCAGGTATTCCAGCGAAGAAGAACATTACCCAGGTATTCCAGCGAAGAAGAACATTACCCAGGTATTCCAGCGAGGAAGAACATTACCCAGGTATTCCAGCGAGGAAGAACATTACCCAGGTATTCCAGCGAGGAAGAACATCACCCAGGTATTCCAGCGAAGAAGAACATTACCCAGGTATTCCAGCGAGGAAGAACATTACCCAGGTATTCCAGCGAGGAAGAACATTACCCAGGTATTCCAGCGAAGAAGAACATTACCCAGGTATTCCAGCGAAGAAGAACATTACCCAGGTATTCCAGCGAAGAAGAACATTACTCAGGTATTCCAGCGAAGAAGAACATTACCCAGGTATTCCAGCGAAGAAGAACATTACCCAGGTATTCCAGCGAAGAAGAACATTACCCAGGTATTCCAGCGAGGAAGAACATTACCCAGGTATTCCAGCGAAGAAGAACATTACCCAGGTATTCCAGCGAAGAAAATATTACCCAGGTATTCCAGCGAGGAAGA